ATGTGATACTCTTGGAGTAGGTGAAAAATATCTGCAACTGGAATTCTGTTCCTGATCCCGGTTCCTGGAGGCAGCGGCTCTGAAACGCGCTGTGCTGCAGGGCTGCTCTGGGACCTGGAGACGCTGCTGCTGGGCAGATGTTCCCCGAGGCTTCGCCTCTGCCGAGCAGCTTTTCTCCAAATACAGCATCCTGCGGCTTCACCCTGGACTCATCCCTTCCAGCCAGGCAGCGGCAGAGGGAAGGATTTCTGCAGATGCCTCCTGTGCTGCCGACACCCACCGTGTGCCCGAGCATCCTTCCCTGTGAGCAGCGCGGTACCCGAGCACTGCTTGGTACGATACCTGAGAGCAGCTCAGGGGCTTCCCAATGAGTTCCCTGCCCAAGGTGAAATGTTTATCTTGGCTCCTCTGAACTGGGGAAGAACAGACTTCCCTCTCGTCACCACGGAGGTTACGTCAGTCCTAAACTCAGAGCAACCTGTGCTCTGCGTGGTGTATAAAGCAGTGCGTTCCCTGCCCAAGGTGAAATGTTTATCTTGGCTCTTCTGAACTGGGGAAGATGTTAACGTACATCCCGCTCTGCGCCCCAACAGTGCCGTTCCTCCCATTCCTACCAGATTATCCAGTGGGCACCTTAAGCTGCAGCATCCATCACCTGCCTTCGGGAAGGCTCGGATCTCTTCTGCAGATGCACGTGGATGCGCTGGCGACTGCATTCCAAGGTGAAATGTTTATCTTGGCTCTTCTGAACTGGGGAAGATGTTAACGTACATCCCGCTCTGCGCCCCAACAGTGCCGTTCCTCCCATTCCTACCAGATTATCCAGTGGGCACCTTAAGCTGCAGCATCCATCACCTGCCTTCGGGAAGGCTCGGATCTCTTCTGCAGATGCACGTGGATGCGCTGGCGACTGCATTCTGCCTCTGAGCAGACGCTGCTTGATATTCTGCGTTTTCTGTTTCGCCAATCCCATAGAAAATTACATCTATTCTCAGTCCCTTACGGAATTACACCTTCCCTTTCAATTTTATTGTTTTAATGAAATACAGATCTCTCATTCCTCTACTGGTGCTTGCAGAGGAGGGAGAAGTGCCTTAACAGTTGGGTTTTTCACAAGAGGAGAGTGATTTCTCATCACTACAGCGAAATATTCGTGGTCTTTTCTGTTGCTTCTGCTGCACAAGGTTGCAGCCCTCAGAGGCTTTATGCCACCACTCCCTGATGGATTTCTGTAGCTGTTTCCAATGCCAGCTCGCGTGCAGTCATCAGTGTGAGTTATAAAACAAAGAACTGGGGGGGTGGAATAGCTACTGCCTTCATTGATCAAAGTTGCGGGTACCTGCAGGCATCGTTTCAGCAAGGTGGAAATGGGCCCTTCGGCACCGGGAGATGCCAGCGCAGGGCCCCTGCCCTGAGGTGGAATCCGTGTGATTTTGCCGACAGGAAAAGCTACCTTGGCTTTTTTACCTCCTTGTTCTCTCATTCCTAGTGAGGGGTTTGCGTTTCAGATGTGCTGAAGGGGACAGGCTAAATGGCATTTGGGTGCGAGGGTCCGACCGGCAGCAGCTGGGGTCCACCTCAGTCCCAGGTTTGCCTTTGGAAAAGCTGAATTTCTCCAGTGCCTCGTCGTAGCTCAGTTTTCTTGTTCTTGTGCTCAGTTCATGGAGAGTGGCAGTGATAAAGAGTTGGGTGCCATTTAAAACCAGCTATGAATAAAAAGCTTTGCATGCAAGAAATAAGTCAAAGATTAGTTCATTGCCAGAGTGCTAAAGTGTTTCTAACTTTATATTTTGCTTCTTGCAGCAAAGTAAGACTTTCTCACTTCCCTCCCACAGCAAAAGGGGACGTAAGGCAGACTGTCATGAGCTATTTAGCATTTTGAAATACTTGAAATAGTCGAAGTAGCAGCTTTTATGTTTGTGTTTTAGGATGGAGAAGCATTTTTAACATTTGACGTTTTGTGAGTGTTCATTATTAATTTTCGTGTCGCTGCTCAGGGCATGATATTTTCTGTTCTGTAGTAATTACGTAGCGCATATCAAAATGATCAACCCTCATCTGTGGAGGAGTCGACTTTCATCTGTTTCTCTTCAGGAGGATTTGGAAGACACGGGATATTTTCACGCGTTGCCAGGCCGGCTTCAGCGCACCTTAGGACGAGTCATAGTTGTAGATGGAACCCGAGGAACGTGGCTTTACGAATATTTTGTATGGCGTGCGCCGAGAGGAGATCCCTGCCACGTGGGAGCACGTGTGCGACATGGGCAGAGGGTCTGGTGCAGGGTCTTTGCTTTGGGAGCTGCAGCCCACGAGGCTCGGGGTGGAGGCAGGCGTTGTGGTGGGCTCGGAGCAGGTACGGGGGGCTCTGGTGCATCCCCTGCAGCAGGAGTGTTGGTCCCATGGACAGCCTCCCCCTGCACTGCAGTTGGGGGAGCAGATGCCTCCAGCCTCGTCAAGAGGGTCTCGGACACGCAGCCACGAGGCCGCCGGTGATGGCTGAGCAGCAGAGGATGCTTCAGTCGTGTGCCTTTAGCGAGCGGGAGATGTAACTGCTGCGGACACCACCAGCAGCCTCCCTGGTCCCCCTCTGGCAGCAGCTGACATACAGACAACGAGAAAGCTGACCAAAAGAGCGGATAGATTTAACTTCATAGCCTGAGGCCCGGAGAACAGCAAGTCAAATATATCACAGAGCTCCTGGTCTGATGTAATGACTGGTTCTGTGTCCTGGTCCAGGTGCCCAAACATCCCCGCAGCGCAGTCCCGGGGCAGGGACTCTCGCCCAGGGAGGCTCCGCGGGCAGCGCCTGCGGGTAAAACAGACATGAGGAATCGGCAAGTTACGCTTGCTTTTCATGAGCCGAGTGTATGCAAAGTCTGCGTAATCTTCATTTGGACAGGCAATATTGTTATTTCCCGATTTTCTTCTTAATCACCCACCGTGTGTTGGCCCTGGCTCTGCTCTTTGGTGGACATGCGCTTCTGTTTGCGTTGCGGACACCTCGGGGTGGCTGGGGCTGCGTCTCTCGTGCCGGAACTGTAGGTGTTAGGAAAGATGCGACGTAGAGCCGGGTCCTTCCTGAGCCCTGCCCGCCAGCTCTGCCAGGAGCAGTTTTGCTGGAGGCAGCACAGCAGCCGCTGACCTCGGCTGCCTCCGCAGAGCCGGGATGTGTCCGAGCGCGGCCCCGGCTCGTGTCACGGGACAAGGGAAAAGGGTTTTCTTCATCGGTGTTGCGCTTGCTTTCTAACCAGGCTAGTTAAGTGGAGAGCGGGCAGAGATTAGGCAGTGGAATCCCTCCAGTGGGGTGAAATGAATCCAAATGAGCGGGCGGTTCGCGAGACAGCGGAACGAGGAGAAGAAATCTCTTCTGCTGGCACCAACTGTGCGATCACTTTATTAGCTAATCCCCCGAAGAGCTCGTTTCACTCGTGCCGTGCAGATTGCCGGTGGCGGCAGTGGGGAAGCTGTGCCCCGGTGTTTTGCAGGGGTGGCCCGGTGAGGAGGGTGATGGTGCCTCAACTAACCGCCCGGGCCATGGAACTCTGATACCTTGGCAGTTGTCATCAAAAACAATAGAGGCTTATAAACCCCTGGAAGTTGATAAGGTTGTAAGTAACGTTATATGTAAGATACAGTTTCCTCGAGGAAAGTTAATAGACATCCCTTCCTGAACAGGTCAGCAGGAGATTTATAACAATATTAACTGTCGAGCCGTGGAGTCAATCACAGTGGGCTTCAGCCGTAATTATGCATCTAAATATATCCCCGTTTGGCTCCCATTCCCAGCGTCAGACACTGGGTTCATCCCTTGCCAGCCCGTGCTCTCATCAGGGCTCAGCTCCTTTGATCAAAGGAGAGCGATGGAGCTCTTCACCACCTTAAATGTGCCTATTCTCGTGTCACGGAGGAGCGCTTTGTTAATTATTTAGATAGCAGACTTTTCATCTGGAAAAGAAAAGGAAACCACATAAAAGGGAATTTTTGAATGAGGTGTGATAATTAAGTGTGAGTCATTGTATGTTTTTGTATCCCAATGTTACCTGAACTTTGTTTTACTTTAAACTGTTTTTCCATGGCTTTGTGACTTATATTGTACAAAGTAGGAAAACTCTGGCAAAGAAGGTGCAGCTCCACCATGTAAACACCAATCACCTGTTTTAATTTGGCATTGCTCTGGGGATCGTGTTTGTGTGCCCAGATAGCCTCCTGGTGAATCTGAAGGGAAATAGGATTAAATGAAGGTCGTGGGTTTCTGGTACCTGTCAGTTTACAATGTGAAGGTATTTGACTGAGGGACTGACTACTGAAGATATTTTTTTTTTAATCTGTGGCAATTTACAATTCCTACTGCTTTCCCTATTCTTTCCGAGACCAAATAAATTGAAAAATAAGAATCCTGAGATAATGATAAAATGTCTATCTCGAGAAGTAGATGGCTGTGCATGGTTTGTTTATTCTCCACTGGCAATTTTTCCTGGAAGTAGCAGTGTAAGCAGGATAAGTTTAGTAGGCTTAGTCACAACACTGATAAGATGTGTAACTGCAATGAGAGCATCCTCCTTTCCCAGCTACTGAAATGCAGATAGTTGAGGAACGGTTCTGTGCTGTCCTTTCATGCTGCTTTTTTGATGACAAATGGTAGATTTCCGAGCAGCACCATCCAAAATATCCAGTGGGACCCGGTAACTGCTGCTAATTATTCTCCGTGTCTAATGTGGGATCTGCCTCAGGGTCTGCTGTTACTCAGGCAGCAACATTAGCCCGGAAAAGCTCACGGCGGAACATTTCCCTTTACAGAATCCACTCTGAGCTCCCTAAAGCAGCCGCACTCGGATAGTGCCCCCGTGGTACCGTCACCGCATCAGCGAAGAGACTCGGACCGGTACTGCCAGCTCTGCGCAGCCTGGTTCAACAACCCCATGATGGCACAGCAGCACTACGACGGCAAAAAGCACAAGAAGAACGCGGCCAGGGCCGACCTCCTGGAGCAGCTGGGGAAGACCCTGGACCTGGGAGAGCTGAGAGGTGAGAGCACCGGTACGTGGAGAGCAAGGACGTGCTCTCTGGGCGCTAGGGACCACAGTGACGCCATCCTTGCCTGCTGCGGTCGCTCTTCCTCTGGTCAAATGGAGAGACCGTGTTGCTCTTATTGCTTTATGAGGTCTTGTGAATAAAAAAATCCCCTCCCCTAAGATGCCGGTTTTAGCAGCAGCATCCTTTAAAAGTTGTTTCCTAGGTATTTCTTTTGCCTCTTCCTAAAATAGTCCCTTCCATTAGCACACACGTCTGTCCTCGAGCAAATGTGACTGTCCCTGCGAGCGGGGCGAGGAGAACACGTGAGAGCACTCACCCCGGGGGGGAAGCCAGGAGGAGGGGGTTCGTAGCTGGAGGCAGAGCACTCCCTACATCCCTGATGGCGAGCGGGCAAAGTGTACTGTCCCGGCGAGTGGGTCGATGAGAACACGTGAGAGCACTCCCCCCGGGGGGAAGCCAGGAGGAGGGTGTTCGTAGCTGGAGGCAGAGCACTCCCTACATCCCTGATGGCGAGCGGGGCATTGCCTGTCGTCTGTGATTTAATTAGTGCTGGTAAAGCGCTGCAGTGACCCGGGGTCAGCAGCAGCCAGGGGGAACCAAGCATTTGACGTGGGTATGTTAAACACAAGGTTTCTGTGTTCCCGCTGAAGGGAGAGCAGTCATCCATCTGTCTGTCCATCCATCCTGGCCCTGCTGGGAGGGGCCCTGCACCCACAGCGTCCCTGCTGCGGATGCGCCCCGGGGTCACCCAGATTTTGGGCCTTGCACCCCTCCAGGAACCCCCCATTGTGTGGCTGCCAGAGCCCCTGAGCATCCCCGTCCCTCCTGGTCACAGCCTGGTGCTGATGAAGGACCAACCGACCCCGGCGTGTGGGCAGATGATGGGGAAGTGCTAATTTATACCGGCTGAGGATGCGACCAAGAGTGAGGTCTGCAGCAAGCGCCTGCGTAACAGGGAGGTGTAATTCCTGGGGGAGAGGTATGAGCCTCCTGTTGAAAGTTTTCTCTGTGGTCTTGATTATAATCCTGTATGCACACAGTGTATTTGACTGAAGTAGGCTGAGGAGAAAGTGCAGGTTTGATTTGCAGATCCATGCAGGAGAGGAAGTCTGGTTTTCCAGCAAGACATGGCATTAACATTTAAACATACCTTTTTTAGTTTTCTTTCTTTCTTTCTTGCTAAATGAAATAACTTTCCTTTAGATGCTAATGACTATGCAGCGTGTTGTGCGTTTCTTGATCGGAGATAAACCTTGTAATGGTTATCCAGATCCTTCATGTGCTACCCAGGGTGACTCACAATGCCATGAATGATTCATGTGGCTGAGTCACTGCCCGCTGTTGAAAATATGTGGGGAAATAAAACCTGGGACTGTAACATGGAAGTGCTTAGTACTTTGAACTGTGCCAAGCTCAAGAGTGGCTGAGGATGTCATTAACTGTAAATAAATCAATTGTGAAGTGTTTTATTCATTTAGCATGCGCCTAGGAGGGTTGAAATCGGAGGACTTTACATACTCATTAGCCCTCGTTGGTTTTTAACTTCTCGGTGGCTCTGTACATGGTTGGGATTTGCAGCTGCATCTGCTGTGGTCCTGCCAATGCCCATCGCACACGGGAGAAGGGACTGTCGAGCTGTGCGGTGGCTGTAGATGTCCCCAGGTACGGGGGAAAGCCAGCTTTGGTCCTCTGCTTGGACACTTCCAGGCCATTGTTTTGGGGTCTGCATTTCGCGGGTGTCCGGTGCTTTCTGACACCCACGAGCTGCACAGCCAGACCCGGAGAGCCAGGGAAGGTGTCCTGCAAAGCTTCCCTCTGCAGCTGGAGCGGCAGCTCGGCTGGGAAATCCTCTTTTTCATTGTTTTTCTTAACTAGGGGGTGAGATACGCTCTCCTGTAGCTGAGAGGCTAGAGCAGATCTCTGCAGTGGCCAGCACAGAACGAGAACAGCCTTCTGCCCGAGGAAATAGCCTTGCCTTGGCAGATGAAGCCTATCTGACATCAATAGAAATGATAACAGTGGCTGCTCGGAGACCCAGTAGCGATCTATCCCAGCCAACCCTTCCCTGACCATTGCTTTCGATGGCCGGCGGGTTGGGCGTTTGGCCGTACGCGGTAGGGATTGCAGCCCTGCGCTCTCCTTGCTCTGCACTTGGTTGCTACCTCGGTAGTCGCTGGAATGCAAACTCATTTCCTTTCCACGCTACCCCCGGTGACTTCTCCCATCACAACTTAAATATTAATTCTATTTTGACTGCTGTGGGAGACGAACATTTGATGCATTGTGTAAGCCTGGAACAAGCAGTGTCAGTTGAAGTAAAACATTCCAGCAGCCTTTGATGTTTCGATAATGGCTATAATAAAATATTTATTGATAAATATGAATGTGTATTTGGAGAAATAAGAACAGAGAGATATTTTTGGACAACTGATATTTATAGGAAACAAAAGCATCGATACTTCTTGCCAAGTGCTCATCCTGTGATTTTGAAGTCTTATTTTCTTCTCAGAAATGAGAAGGAGGAGGAAACAAAAAAAAAAAAAGGAAAAAGAAACCCCACTAGCAGCCCTGTTTCTCTGGTCTGTATTGCGTTAAGGCAATTAAAGGTTGCCCAGGCCGCTCCTCTGGGAGGGTCCAAGGCCGGGCTGGATGAGGCTTGGAACAACCTGGTCTGTTGGAAGGTGTCCCTGCCCATGGCAGGGGGAGGGACTGGGGGGCTTTAAGGTCCCTCCCAACCCAAACTGTTCTGTGATTCTCTGATTCATATGTACACCTTTGAGCAAGCAGAAGACTTAACATGCAGACAGAACCTCCTTCGTCTCGGCACTGCTCATAATCTGTGCTTCGGCACCTTTTCCGTGGCAGCAACGACTTGCCAGGGCACCTTGGGCTCTCTTTGATGCCCGCCAGTAAAACTGGAATTGTACGTAGGGATGGAGACAGATTCAGGGCCAGACTGGAGTACCCGGAGCTCATTAGATGGGATCCTGTAAGCTGCAGGAATGTGGGTCTTCTCGAGGCACTTGGTTCCTGGTGAACAAGAAAAGCACCAGGCCCTGGAGCAGAAACTGCTGCCTCTCAAGGGGATTACACTATGAATCCCTAAAATACAATACAGCAACCTCTGCGGTAAAGCAGAATTGGGATGGCTGCACAGGGATGTTGTCACCAGAAGCCTTTGTATTTGCAGGTAAATTGTCACAGTTGCAGATGCATCTTGAAAAATCAGGCAAAGAGCTGAGTTTCGTTTTCCTTCTCACCTCATAATTTCTTTGTATGCCTTATAAATACCTTTCGTTCTGGGCTGTCACTTTTGGTTAGTAAAAAGCGATTTAACAAGTACTCCCCTGGAATGTGTTTTAATGCATTTTATGCAGAATGACATTAATGACTTTACTTGTTAATATTTTACTTAATGGATATAGGAGGACGTTCAATTTTACATGAGTCCGTGTCATGATGCAGGCTGGGGAATGCTGATGTGTGATGAGGATGCAGAAGCAGATGTGACTGTGCAGGCAGAGCACAGCTTTTCCTAACCCAGACTGCTCCGGATGGGACCATCTGCCTATTGCAGGCTGCCTCCGGAGCTAACGCTCACCTCCAACGCGCTGTGGTTGGGTGCGTTTTACGAGCCCACGGTTTCAGCCAAGTTGGCAGCTTTGGTAAGCTCCAGCGCGATCAAATACTGTTAATTTTGATATTTTGGAGGTGATAATCGCCTGTGGTTTCAGCCTGCAGTTTACCTGAGGCTAGTTTCCTTTCTCCAGGTCTCATTTTGGTGGAGTTCATGTCACACTCAACACTCTTCCTGGACAAGTCTGTCTCAGGATACCGGATTTCAGCTTGATGGGTCCTGCTGACCTTATCCCGCCGCAGGACCACAATCCCGGGTGCGGGGCGAGCGGCCACCCCAGGGCAGCGCGGCGGTGGTGGGCAGTGGGGTGGGAGGGGGCAGCGTGGTGGTGGTGGGCCACACGATGATGATGGTTCATCGTCGTGAGCAGCCTTGACATGCTGGAGGAAAAAAAAAAATCCGTGTCCCCAGTTAGGAGCTGTAATCGCTGATGGCATTCCCACCTACACAAGTAATTAAGATTCAATACGGCTGCTGTTAATGTATGCTGTTAAATTAGCTGCTGAGCATTAGGACCTTATTACCTTAATTTAAAGTATTACCAGTTTCTCGCTTCCCCAGTCCCGGTCTCTGCCGTGCGGCGATCACGGCATGGTCCGGGGGCTGGGTCTCCAGCAAGGTGCTGTGTCAGCCGTGCGCTGCCTTTTCCAGCCTTTCCCCTGCGCTGTGGCACGGATGTGCGTGGTTTCTGACACCCGTTGGCTTAGTGAAGGAAACAGGAGCCGCCAGCTATGGGGAGAGGGTTTGCCTATAAAACCATTGCTGCTGCATCAAGAATAAATTCAATAAGGGGAGCATCCGTAGGCTTATTTGCAGTTTGATTTTTCATAGAATCA